CTTATGCACAGCAAAACGAAACACTACCTGATCCTGGGCCATCCTCACTACTGTTGCCACACTTGAGACCATTAATGCTGCCACTTAGCGAATCCATCTCATTGGGATTCTTCCTCTTTTTCTCTGACCCTCAACCTTTCCAAACATGATATCCTTCTCCAGTGACTGCTCCCTCCTGACAACATGTCTGAAGTATGAGAGACGAAGTTTGGCCATCTTGGCCTCCAAGGAATGCTCTGGCTGCACTTCTTCCAAAATGGATCAATTGGTTCTTTTGGCAGCCCATGACACTTTCAATATTCTCCTCCAACACCATAACTTGGAAACATCAATTCTTCTATGGTCTTCCTTATTCAGTGTCCAGCTTTCACATGCATATGAGGTTATTGAAAATACCATGCTTTGGGTCAGGTGCACCTTAGTCCTCAAACTGACATCTTTGCCCTTTGATGCTTTAAAACGGTCTTGTGCAGCAGATTTGCCTAATGCAATACATCATTTGATTTCTTGATTGCTGCTTCCATAAGTGTTGATAGTTGATCCAAGAAGAATAAAGCCCTTGACAACTTCAATCTTTTTTCCATGATAAGAATGTGTTTATTGTTCCAGTGGTGAGGATTTTTGTTTTCTTTACATTAAGATGTAATCCATACTTCACTTTCAGCAAGCAAGGTTGTATCATCTGCATATCTCCGGTTGTTACTGAGTCTTTCTCCAATCCTGACGCCACGTTTTTCTTCATATAACCCAGATTCTCTGATTATTTGCTCAACTTAGACATTGGCTACCTAAAATGAAGGAGCGATAGAGGCACGAAGTGGCTGGCTTACAAGGTTTCAAGAGGGAGTTAGTTTAAGAGTATGAAGGGAAAGAAAGAGTCCACACTGAAAAGTTTTTGTCTAGTCTAGATGGGTCTAGTGGAAAAAGATGGGGATAAAATTTGCATGATTCAATAGTGCATAATTGTTTTCATGACTAATTTCAGCTGTCACAATTGTAAAGGTAGAAGTTTCGTAACAAAAACAGGGAGTGGTTAATCTTACAGTCCAGAAACAGAGGACCCTAGGACCATGAAGGGAGAAAAGCACAAGCAGAATGCAGGCCCTTATCCAGAGAAGCAGCGACACCAGAGACAGAGGTAGAGATGGGGTCATGGATAGGGGGAGTGGCTGAGGACTCTAGATTCATGGGAAGAGAAGGACTAAGAGCTGGTGGCCAAGAGGCAGACTTGCAGAATGTGCCCTTTGGAGGTGTAAATTATTATATATGCCTGAGTGGTTTGTTTTTGTTTTTTAAGCTAAAGTGAATAGAGAGAACTATTGTTAACTGATGGTACATGGAGGTGATTATAATCATTGTAATGAAACAAGGTACATGATTTGTTGAATGTAAAATTGATAATCTGCCCTGTAAACTTTCACTCAATCCACAATAAAAACCCTTAAAAAAAAAAAAAAAAAAAAGAGGTGGTTTCGAACACTCAGTGAGAAATGCAAACCCAACCTGTGATTGTCAAGTTTAAAAAGAAAATGTTCTACATCTTACTTTGGAGAATACCAACTGGGTCTTAAAAGCTTCTGAGTTGTTATCTAAAGTATAATTATTGGTCTTTCCTTGTCTAGAGAAGAGAAAAGTGAATAAATCAATGACACACACAAAAAAATGAGTTCAATGACAAGTGGACCACATAAACTCCAGACTCCATGACCCTGAGACCAGAAGAACTAGATGATGCCCGTCCATTACTCTTACCACTCTGAAAAGGATCACAATAGAAAGTCCTGGATAAAATGGGAGGAAAACGGATGAAATGGGAAGCAAAATTCAAAGCCCAGACTTTCTGGTCTGATAGAGACTAGTGAAACCCCCAAGATGCTCTTAGTCCAATCCTGGAACTGACAGCTTCAGCCAAGTAATAGACAAGCCTAGAAGGTGAACAAGAACACCAGAGATACACACTCCATGGAATAATCAATCCTGTGAGATCAAAAGGGCAGCATTTTCCTGAGAGAAGGCTCAGACTGCAGGATGGAACAGTAAAGAAGGACGAATGGAAATGGAGAACCAGGGAGGAAGTGGAAAGAGTGTTGCTACGTTGTGGGCATTGCAATCAATGTCATGAAACAAAATGTATATGAATTGTTGAATGGAAAACCAACTTGCGTGGCAAACTTTCACTCAAATCACAGTAAAAAATTAAAAATGAATAAATGGATATTTTTAAAGGAGGGCTTTGGTGATATGATTGGTGGAGGGAGACAGCCTGGACAATGAAGTGTTTGGGGAAATATTGATCAGTCGTTGTTCAGGTTGCCAGAGTGCTTCTGTTAGTAGAGAATGATCGCTCTTCAATAACCAACAATGCAAAGAGCACCTAGAGGACTGCTCCACCCAGCAGCCCAGAACAGTGACCCCAGTCCCAATAGTCACCTCCCATAGGCACCCCCGCTGCTCGCATTGTTCCTGCGACACAGATGGATCCCCCGGGTAACAGTCAAACTTCTCCAGGTCACTGACGGGAAGCTTCCACTTAATGGAGAACTCTTGTCCCAGGACCAGTCCCTGGAGTTTAGTGATGGTCACTACCTGGGGAGAGAGGGCAAAGAAAGGCACAGTGATCAACATGTCCCTGTTGGTCTGAGGTCAGCATTGGGGAGCTGGCCAGCCATCTATCTAACTACTCTGTCTTGCAATATTTGGAGTATGACTTTTTATCCTCTGGGTCTTACACTTGATTCTCAAGAGAATTAACATGACTTCTCCTTGACCTTTCTGGGCTTGTGGGGCCATTGTGGAAGTCAATCATAGGTACTGATGGGAAGGGCTCCCATTGAGTTAGAGAGTACAGATCACAGGCAGAGCTGTGGTTGGTCAGCATTCCATCCCTGGGTGTTATGTTAATACTGTTGAGAACGGCAATCACGTGTAATAGCCCGAGAACCTTTAGAGAGCAGTGTCATGGGTCAAGAACAGTCCTACAAAGAAGTCTTGAGCTGTGAGTGCTGGAACCTTGCTCAATTTTCAGAATAGAAACTTAGGTACAGAGAGGCATCACATCTTAACCAAGATCATATAATTGGGAATGGTAGAGTTTGGAATTGAGCCCCATTCTGCCTAACTCTGGATACTCCTACCCCATGCTATGCTCATTGTTAAAGTGGAAGTGGGTTGGTCTAGGGAAGGCAGACCCCAGCACTTGAGGTTGTTGTTATTAAGTGCTGTGGAGTCAGTTCTAACTCATAGAGACCCTGTATAGGATTGCTAAGCAGTGACTGGTGGGTTTGAACCACTGGCCTTTCTGTGAGTCCGGTGCTTATCCTACAACTCCAACCAGGATGCCTGTACTTGCACTATTTAACTGAAATCTTTCATCAAAGATCACATAAAAGCTAATCGCTCACTAAAAGGTCCTTGGGTGGCACCCATGGTTTGTACTTATGAGTCGGGCTCAAGGTCAGCAGTTCAAAACGACCAGTTGTTCCATGGGAGAAAGATGAGGCTTTCTGCTCCCATAAAGACTTATAGCCTTGAAAACCCTATGCAGAGTCACTATGAGTCAGAACCAACTCCACGGCACACAACCACCACAGTAACATAAAGGCGGGTGGTTCTAGACCACTTCTGGAAGGCATTCAGAGCAGTGTCTATACAGGAAATGGAAGGTCATGTCTATGCTCTTTCCTTAAATCATCCTAATTGAGTTCCTGGTACTAAGCCTCAGGACTACGCTCTCTAGAATTCAAGAACCAGATGTGCCTTCAAGAGAATCAGAAGTAGCATGAGAGTTGATGGAAGTACCTGGACCATGTGACCTCTAAGTGCAGGTGGAAAGAGGCAGACAGGTCTTGGCAGAAAGTTTTGGGGTTGCACCCAGGTATCTGGCCCCTCCAGTTTGCCCTTTTGGAAACAGATCTTCAGGACTGTCTTTCAAGGCACCTCTAGGTGGGTTTGAATTGTCAACATTTCAGCTAACAGTCAAGTGCTTAACTATTTGTGCCAACCAGGGACCTCCTATAATGCTATAAAGGTAGCTTAAAACACTAAGGAAAGCAATTATCTCTCTGAGAGAGGGGACAGTATGTGGACAGAGTTGGTCAATGTGCTGAGCAATTTTCTTACTATGTTGTGTAAAGGTAGGTTTGTCTGGTTTTAAATTTGCTCAGAGTGTGCCTTCTCTCAGGTCCTTTCTCCGCGGTCCTCGGGAACATTCTGGGGCAGCCCCCACAAGGCCCCACTAGGAACATGCCATGTCTCCCTGTATTCTCCCTGGGCAGTGCTGCCCACGATGTCTGTGACCACAGTCAGAAGAGCCATCTAGAGGCACCTGGCCAAGCCTCAGGCCCAGGCTGTCTATACAAGCTTTGTGAGGTGGAACAATTACTCACCTTGTCTGAAGCGTTGTAGATGACATCTGAACAGTTTGAACAGGGAATGGGCATGTTATTAACTAAGACAGTAACATCTTTTGGCTCCTTGTCCATTCCCCAGATCATGATATAATTAAATTCAAGGTTGTCAGTATTTGAATAGTTATTCTTTACAATCTTTGCTTGTAGACAGTTCTGGAGGGAAAAAAACAATAGTGAGTTTCAAGACCAGATAACAGCACGTGCAATCTGTCTTCAAATAATGCCCAGTGTCCCTCTCTCCAAGGTATACAGCATCTCCTTTTTCTCTGAGGTTCCAAATGTTGCCAACAATCATCCCAGCTACTGAGAGTTTGTTGCCCTATCTCTCACAATCTTGTGTCTCCAAGTGAGATTTATTCCTGACTTACGGCCATCATCATCCATTGAGTCTATCACTGAGAAAATTAGTCCTGACCTCATGGACAACACCTTAAGCAGTAAAGATGGGATCCCACAAAACAACAGAAATGGTGCAAAAGTACACACAGAACCTTTGGAACACAAAGGTACAGACATCCCATACACACACAAAAATGCACTCCAATAGTTTTTTCTTCTAATAATAATGAATGTAAGTCCCACCATTTATGAATGTTTACTTGTATTGTCTCATGCAATTTTGACAGCAAACTATCAGGTTCATGTGATAAATATCCCCACTTTTCAGTCAATGAGACTGAGACACAGAGAAATTAAAAAACATATTGAGTTCCACCATACATAAAGAGACAAATATATATATATATATAACAGGGAAGAAGGTAAAACTGAGGACTGGGCTGATTGTTGATAAAGAAAAAGCAGTATCATGGAGAAAGAAGAGCCTTTTCTAAAAATGGTGCTAGTACCATTGGACATACTTGTACACTGGCCAAAAACTAACCTTGATCTAAACTTCACATCCTATACAAAACTTAACTCTAGATTGGTCATGGGCTTAAAAATAAAACTTAAAAAAAAAAAAAAAAAATGGAGACTTTGAAATCCAAAAGTAGAAGAACTCATAGACTTGACACCAAAAGCAAGAGTCATCTCATGAATAAGACCCATCGGCACTTAAAATGTTTGCTCTGTGAAAGACTGTGTGAAGAGAATGAAACCCGGAGCTACAGATCATGAGAAAGTATTAGCAAGCCACCTTTCTGGTAAAGGACTAGAACTCTGAAAACCCTGCAATAAAGAGCAATAATTAAAATCCAGTTTGAAAAATGGACAAAAGGTTCAAACAGATATTTCACCAAGAGGACATATGTTGTTGTTGTTGTTAGGTGCCATCGAGTTGATTCTGACCCATAGCGACCCTGTATAGGGTTTCTAAGGAGCAGCTGGTGAGCTTGAACCAAGGACCTTGCAGTTCAAATGGCTTTACAGTCTGGAACACTAACCCACAGTGCCACACCAGGACTCCAAGAATACATAGATGACAGGTAAGTATAGGAAAGGATGCTCAACATCATTAGACATCAGGAAGATGCATATTTAAACCACAATGAAGTACCACAGAAAAGCAACCAGATTGGCTAAAATAAAACAAGTGACAACATCCAATGGTGGTGAGGTGTGCCGAAACTGAGTATGCTTCTGAAGCAAATGCAGAACCATACATCTATCCTGGGAGATAGTTTGGCACCTTCTATTAAACTAATCACGCAACCATATGGTCCAACAACTGCACTGCTGGTACACTTTATTTCAGAGAAATGAAAGCTGTATTCACACACAAAGACCTATACACAAATATCCAGGGAAGCTTTCTTTGTAATAACCCCAACCGGAAACAGGTCACATGTCTCTCAATGGATGAAACCCAGAACAAAGAAACCCAGTGCTACCCAGTCGATTCTCAAACTCAGAGTCAATGATTTTTTTTTTTCCCAGAAAAAAAAGTTCTTCATAGAATTCAGGCTGCTCTGTTTTGTTTGCTGCCTTGAATTAGATCCAACTCCACAGAAACTGGTGAATCTACCTCACACTTTAACTTGCTTCCTACCTGGACCATCATTACCCAGCTTGCACTCTTCCCAACCCACACATCCAAACATCTATGAGCCAAAACCTCTAGCAGCAATCACAGAAGAGACACTGAACTTACAGAGGCCACCGAGAAACTGTACAGCAGATAGATCTCTTTGGTCACAGCGTCTAAAGAGAAAGACAGAAGCGTCGTTATCAGGCATGTGGAGGAGCCGGGTCATGCCTTCCTCTTCACATGGAAAACCTTGGCCATCTAGTTCTGCATATCCACCTTGTACCCTTTGTCTTCAATATCCTCCTCTGTGGCCTTCAGGAACATTCAACCTACCATACCCATCTCTCCACTCCCATAACACTTTGTGATGCCGTTGTTCTGGTAGTGAACACATTTTGTCTCGCATTACAGTTATCTACTTGTACACCCTATTTCTCCTACTGGACTTCAAAGGGCATGTTTATGTGTTACTCATTTTTATATTACCAGCATATAATGCAACAGCAGTCAATAAGCCAAAAATCCTAACTGAGCCACTTGATGTTGAGGCAGCTCTGACTCACAGCGTTTCCATGTATGTCAGACTAGAGCTGTGCTCCACAAGATCTTCAGTGGCTCATCTTTCAGAAGGAGACCAACAGGCCTTCCTTCAAAGGCACTTCTGGGTGAACTCAAACCTCAGCTTTTAGGTTAGCAGGTGAGTGCAAAAACTATTGACACCACCCAAAGACTCGAATAGTCAATGTTGTTGTTTAGGGCCGGCTAGTAGGTTCCAACTCATAGCAATGCTGTATACATTTCCAAGGAGCAGATGGTGGACTTGAACTGCCAACCTTGTGGTTAGTAGTACAGTGCTTATCCTACAGCACCACAGCAGGAATCGCCTATATTCATAGATGTGGTGCTGTAAGATAAGAACTGGATTGCTATCCTTAAAGTCTGTGGTTCAAATTCACCAGTTGCTTCTCAGAAACCCTATACAGGGTCATTATGAGTTGGAACCAACTCCATGGCACTTCACAACAACTACACTAATTCTGTGCAGACCATAAGCTTATGGGAGGTATTATATAGTGGAAAAACTTGGAACACAAATTAAATTCTTCTCCCTCCAAAGAAATAAACACAGTACTTTTTTTTTTTTTTCAACAAAGCTATTAACAAAATGTATCATTTGGTATTAGTAATGATATTCAGTAAAGAGAAGAATTAAACTAAATTCAGTTAAGTCTGTGGCCTTTGGTAGGATCAATAACCTACAAAGCTTGTCAATAGCATGCATTTGAAATTGATTTTAATGCATCATGTTTGGCTGACATAACCTAAACTCTTCGAATGCACTTTAACCCAATGATATTAAGCTATGGAGACAAACAAAGACAGTAGAGTTAGTTCCATAATGTCTGGCTCCACTAGGAGCCAAAGTGAGGGCACCATAAGAACGTCCACCTCTGGATACACCATTGTCCCAGTACAGCTCCCCCTTTGCTTCTCTCCTGTGGTCCAAGGCAATGACGAGGCTCAGGAAATTCTTCCGGCTGTAAAACAGTAAATATCAATTTTAAAAAAATGAAAAAGAAATGAAACTATCCTGCTTCTTGTCCCAGACAGAGATAACCCCAGGGTGCAATCCAGAAATAAAGTAGATATTAACATTTTGTGGAAAGATGGAAACTGGGTTTGAGCATGAGAAGAATGGTGGAAAGAAGATATTCCTGCTGAAACAAGGTTCTGTGATGATGCTAAAGATGGAAATTGATTGTTGCTTACAATGTGCCAGGTACTTTTCTCAGTGCCCTATACACATTCCCTCAGTTTACCCTCATCATAGCCCTAAAAAGTAGAACCATGGTCATGCCCAGTTGACCAAGAAGAAACAGAAGTGAGAAGTTACCCAAGGAAGCACTTGTATTCCAGTTGGTAGATAGACCCAAACTGTCTATCTCCAGAGTCTGAGTTCTTGACCTCCACACTGTCTTGAGTCTCACATGTTGCTGTTAAGTACCACTGAGTTGGTTCCAACTCATAGCAATCCTGTACAGTTTCTGAGGAGTAGCTGGTGGGTTTGGATCTCTGACCTTGTGGTTATCAGTCCAATGCTTAACCTACATCACCATACCAGGACTCCATTATGAGCTTTTTAAGGATTCCTGGTAGCACAGTGGATAAGTGATTGATTGCTAATATAAAGATTGTCAGTTCAAACCCACCAACAGGAAAAAAGACTTAATGACCCCGCTTACTGTAACAATTTCAGCCTAGGAAGCCCGACTGTATCCTCAAAGGCATCCCTTCATGCTTTGTGAATCTACATAGCAACTATCTCCAGCCCTGAGGAAGTCATCATGGATGATTATTTTAATAATTCCTATAAAGTAATTCCAATCCCAAACCCAAAGTCTTTGGAAGTAAAATAGAGCATAAACTGTCTTTGCCCCTTCTAACTGCAGACTGGGATGCCCATTCTGAACCAATCTTGACTAAAGGAGGATGGTTACTGGGACACTTTCCTTTTGCCCAGTCTCTCCCTGTTTGCTCTCCTATGGTGCCCACCCATTGGAGCTTTCAAGTGCTCCCTCCCTAGAACAGAATGGAGTGTACCTGGTCTCTGTGGTGGTGTTTGTGGTCTGCATGGGGACTATGTAGCCCCCTCGAAGGTGAAGTCCTATCTTATCTTTGGAGAATGTCATCTGCACCTGCTGCTTCCTCCATGGGATGGCCACTCCCTAATCAACAAAAATAAAACCATCAGATGACAGACTCTTTGGCCTTGGAGGGACCTTGGAAATGGTTGCATTCAGTTACCTGGTTTTAGAGAAGACAATATGGATGTCTCCAAAATGAAGTGACTTCTCAAGCCCTACAGGTAGTTAAGAGCAGAGCTGAGATCCACTCCACTTCATTTCCTTATATTGCACCATGCTGTGACTCACAACTGGGTTTTAATTCTCCAGGTGATCTCAGCCAAAGACCAGGACAAGTCCCAATAGCTGCATGGTGGTTAAGGTAAGGCAATAAATATTTCTAGACACCTATTCCAGGTATTCAAATATTTCATGGTATATTTGGAGAGGCCATCCTTGCAGAAAAAGTAGCCTTAGTCAATAAAATGTAAACCTTACATGATCCTACCCCAAGCTCCCAAGACTGTTTCATCCACACTGCCCTCTGCCAGAGGCAGGTCTTACCACCATAAGGACTGCCTCACTTACTGTCTCAAACTCATACCAGATGGCATCTGGGATGTAGGCACTCACTGGGTCCTCGTCCTAGGAACACAATGAAAATCAGTTGCCACCCTTCACAGTTGTTCTGGGCTGTCTTAGAGATGGATAGAATCATTCCTTTCTGAAGATGATGACTCAGAACTCCCAACTCAGAAAGGCTGAACGTTTTCCCCAAAGCCAGGAGGAAGCAGCACTCTAACTAAGATTCAAGTCTCTTTGCTTCAGCCCCTGTGCTTGATAAGAGAAGCAGAGACAATCTATTCACAGACATTCAGTGCTATGACAGGTGGGAGGGCATGGTGAGCCCCCCACTAGGCCCCTGCTGATTAGCAGGACCTGCAATGAGATGGTACAGCTGGAACACCAGCTACCAGGGTGTTGGACATGATTACAGGGGTCCCCCATGACATCTCCATCAGTATAATCCTGGCTCTTCCCCCAGACGTCCCTATTCACCTCTACCATGAGTCCCATTTGAGTAAGGTACATGTAGTCCTTCACACCTGCTCTCTAGTGAGACTCCTCCCATTGCCCAGCACCCCTCTCTCCCACTTTGCTCCTCTCTATACCATCCCAAGCCAACCCCTAGAGTACAACCTCTCTGGAAAAAGGGAAGCCATACAGATGGTCAACCCATACACACCAAGGAATGTAAAGCCCAGCTCAGTACCACAGCCACATGCTAAGGACATGGGTTTTAAGGTGATTTTTCAAAATAGAAAGCATTTGCTTATGGCACAGTGGAGCCATGAGTGACTGTTGTTTCATTTCTGCTCTCTTTCCCATTTATAGTGAAATGTAATCTTGTTGCTCAGTGCCTGATGTAGCTACAGTCATGGGGCAGGTGTGACATCTAGTGATGGGGCAGTTGTGACATCCCACCCCATTGTCTGAGTGTAGACGTACTGCATGTAAAACAGGTGTGATGAGGAGAGCAGGCCCCCATAGGAACTGCTCGTGCACATCCCAGGTGCTGGGGTCCTGGTAGAACCTGTAAAAGGAGAAGAAAGAACAGAGAGGTTGATGAGTCCATCAGTACAAGACACGAGCTCAGAGTGTAGCAGCAAGGTCATGGGGTGAGATTATGATCCAGAAGGGAGTCACATGGGTCAGCGAACTCACTCATGCAGCAGAGGTCGGGCCACAGTATCCCCTCGCGTGTGAGCGCAGTAGAAGAGGGTGTAAAGGTAGGGCAGCAGCATGTATCGGATGTTCAGGTAGTGCAGGGAGGACAACAGCAGCATGGAATCAGGTCCAAAGGATGCCGGGTCCTGGTCCTAGGAAGAAAGAGGCATTCACTGGACATTTCCACTGTAATTTTAAAGTTCGCTTCTCATATGAAGCTGTCTGAGATGAAAGTAGCTATGTTCTCCAACCTAGAAGATGTAAAGGCATTTCCAGATTCAAAAAGACCTTAGTCCTATCTCTTCATTTTACAAATAAGAAAACAACACCAAAGACAATATAACTTTTGCAACAAAAATTGTAAGCAAGTGGAAGAGTTGAAATTTTATTGGAGTCTTCTGAGGCCAAGCTATGAGAAACCCAAAGTGTGAAAGTAGCCTCACAAAGGTTCAATGGAGATGAAGGGGTTATGGTGGGTGGGGCTCCACTCTGGATATAACACTTTCATCCAAATCTCTCCCAATTTATTTTATATGTGGAGAGTTCTCAAAGATATTTCCAATGGTAATAGTTATCATAATAGGAGGGGAGAGTTAGAAGGGAATGGGGATAAAGAAGAAGGAAGAAATTGGGAGCAGGTTAGGAACAGGGATAGGAGGAGGAGATGACACAGGCAAAGAAGAGGGAGGCAGAGAAGGTAAAAGAAGAGACAGGGAGGAAGAGGAGAAGGAGAAGAAAAGAGGAGATGGAATAGGAAGTAAGGAAGACGTGGAGAAGGAAGAAGAGACAGGGAGGATGAGGAGAAAGTAGAGGAGATGAGGAGGAAGAGGAGAAGGAGAAGGAAGAAGAGACAGGGAGGATGAGGAGAGCAAGGAGGAAGGTGAGTCTTCAACAGTAAAGCCAATCAGTATACACACATCCCGTTCTCACACTGACACTCTCATACCTGCCTTTTAGGTCAGTTACCCAAGATTTCCTATCCTGTTTGGACTTCAGAACAACATGTAGTATTTTCCTCAAATCTTCTTCGAGAACAAGTAGATTGGACCACTCAGGAAGTTTGCACCATTTGGGGGAGGGGACCTTACCATGAATCCAGGCCCGTTGTGATTCCTGGATAGTGGATAAAATGCTCCAAGCTGCATCCATCTTCTGCAGAGGGCCTCTGTGGTATTACCCTCATAACCACAGATATTGGCTCCTACCTGAAGAGTTATCACACAGACAAGCACAGGGGTTAGGGAGAGACCTATATGTAGAGGGAAAAGAGAATCTTATTCTGCTTCTCCCATGCTCAAACAGGCCCCGGCCAAAATGAAGGACAAGTAAGCATGCATTACATGATGGATTGAGGAGGAAGACTGAGAGATGATGAAGACATTGATCCTTGTATCAAGGGCCTTTTCTCATATTCAGTTCCTGATTTCACACTTTCCAACTCTCTGCTGCTCTCCTGGTGGAATTGTTCTACGATGGCAATACATTTTACTCCTGGTCTCTTTTTTCCAATCCCAGAGAGTCCCTGAATGCCAACCCAATGATAAAGTTCTATTATCCTAACTTCAGGAGGCAGCTCAGACACCTTATGTTGTTGTTAAGTGCCATCCAGTCGGTTCCAACTCATAGCGGTCCTGTATAAGGTTACTAAGTTCAAACTACCAACCTTGTGATTCACAGTTCAGTGCTGATCCTACAGGGCAACACCAGGACTTCAGAACACCTATACAGAGTGTTTATTCCAATTCAAATCCCAGTAGAGCATATGCTCCTTAACAGTAAGGCACCCTTAATGGCTGGTGGTGGAAATAATGTCAAAGAACAAAGGGTTAATGTTCCTTGGTTGGAAATGAGGCTCACCAAGGGGATTCCAAATAGGTTGAACTCAAGGATGCTAGGAATGGACCACCGTAGGTCATTCCATGTGGCTGCATTGTCCCCCAACCAGTGACCAGCAAACTTGCCAGAGCCAGCAAAAGTAGAGCGGGAAAGGATGAAGTTCCTTGTACTTGAGAAGACAGCCTCCATGGCCCTGAAAAGGAATGCATCCGGCTGAGTGTCAGATGAAATGTAAATGTCTAGACTTCACCTTATACATCAGGCAACAGTAGGCTTCCCAATGAAATTGAGAAAAAAAAAAAATATCTCAGTGTCATGAGGCACCAACTGGCAAAATTTCTAAGCACTTCCTACCCCCTTTGAGTAAGACAGTACAAGCCTCTACATTTCAAATCCTCCAAGGAATGTCTCTAAACTTGTGACTTCCTTATTTATGTTTTCTCCATCTTGGATTTGGTTGCATTTTGGCCCTTGGTTGATACTAAAGTGGAAACAAGTCTTTGGTCCTTGGTTCCATCTCCTCCCTGGAGTCAGTTTTTCCAATGCCACTTGCTTCCACACCTTGATAACCATAGTTTATCACAATGCCAGCTCAAGTTGTAACTGTGTCCTGCTAACAGAAGAAGGAAATCTGTATGCCAAGGGGTCCCAGGCACTTGGGCTCCTCTCAAGTTCAGAATTTGTTATGACCAGCTCTCAATGTTAGCAAAGCTTATAGTCTAAGCAACATTGTATCAATATAAACCACTAATTCTCAAAGGATGACATATTATACTCTTTAGACCGTTAAAAACAATAAAAATAGGGAGAACAAACAAGATGGTGGACCAGGTAGACATGTAGTGAGGAGATCCATCAACAGCAACACAGAATACTGGTCCAAGCAGGCTCAGGGAATGGTCCCAGAACTCTGAATCATATATAAAGCAATATTTAGAAGGTTGAAAGGCTTACAGCTAGGGAAATTTGTAACAGAAGCAAGAAACCCGTTGCTTTCTAATTCAAGATGCTCAGTTGCTCCAGGAGCCGCCATCTTGGGAAAGACCAAATGGGGGAAGCATCAGAGCAGCCACGGATGCCTGACAGAACCGCTGAGATAAAGGTGTGGACATACTTTATTTTTGTATCTGTTCATTGGTCTCTCACTGTCTGTGCACATCCATTCTGGTGACTAGAGGGGGTGCCTGAGCAAGTGGACACTATATCCCCCACCCCCAGTGGGTTCTACTACGCATGTGCACAGATCTTCTTGAAATTTAAAGTGACAGTTTCCACTTAAAACTAAACAGCAGTGCAAAACAACCACAACCAGACCTGAACTGTTTATCACTAGGAAAAAGGCCTGAGCAGGGATTGTGGAGCAGGATAGGCAGACTAAAAAGGAAACAGGATAAAAAGTAATTCCTGAGTTATGTCATAATGACCAACAGTGGCATCTTGAAATTTCTCAGGAAGAAGATTCAAAAGGAAAGGCCAACTCCTGATCACATCTACCTAGAGGCAATCAGAAAGCATAAAAAAACAAAAAACAAAACACACATCCATCTAAGTAATGAGGCCACAGATAACTCCTGAATATAAAAAAACAAAAAAACAAAAAAACAAAAAACACAGAAACAGATGACCATATCAGCACATGTCCAGAAATGAGATAAAGTGACTGAGGCAAATGAGCTGGAAGTAGACCTACACTCATACTGGAAGATGGTCAGGCTTTGGAAATGCCTGAGAAGGAATTCAGAAAAGTGATTATAAAACGTATCAAAACACTACTCAACAGAGTTGAGAAAAATAAGGAAGAAGTCAAGAAAGTGCTACAAGAGCAATCAAATAAGACATATACAGCATTGGAAACAATTCAAAACCTACAGAAAGCTGTCCAAACAATTAATAATAGAATATTAGAAATGGACAATACACTGAAAGGGCAAAAGTGTAGAATTGAAGAGATAGAAGCCAGAACTAGTGAGCTCGAAGATACATCTCTTAACACTACTAAGATAGAAGAGAAAGCACAAAAAGGATTAAAAAATCTGAAGAAGCCCTAAGATTCATGTTGGACAACATGAAGAGGAATAACTTAAGAATTATAGGCATTCCAGAACAGGAAGAATCACACAAGTCCACAGAGGAGATAATTGAAGCGATGCTGGAAGAAAAAGTTTCTAACATCCTAAAAAGCGAAAAGATAAATATTCAAGAAGCTCTTAATGAATCCCAGAAAGGATAGACCCCAAAAGAAAATCACCAAGGCATATAATAATCAAGCTCTCGCCAAATCAAAGATGAGGAGACAATTCTGAAAGCAGCTATGGAAAAGAGAAGTATAACATACAAAAGCAAGCAAATCAGATTAAGCTCAGATCTCTCAACAGAAACCATGTAGGAAAGAAGGTAATGGGAAGACATATATAAAACCCTGAAAGGAAAAAACTGCCAACCAAGAATCCTTTAACCAGCAAAACTGTCAATCAAATACGATGGTGTAATCAAAACATTCCAGGATAAACAGAAGCTAAGGGATTTTGCCAAAGCTAACCCTGCTATGAAAAACATCCTTAAGGAAGTTCTGTGGACTGAGAACCAACAAGAACAGACAACAACTACAGAATGACGTACATGGCAGCATCACCCTGAACTCAATAGACAAATGGAAGAGTCAAGAATAGAATAAAATTATAAGAACAGAGGATCTGGGAGGTCAGACTATGATCAAAGCAATTACAATGTGAAAGAAGGTAAACAGAGGAACAGAGATCCATCCAGGTGGTGAAAAGCTTAGGTAGATTACAGGATAAAATAGATTGTCTTAAATAGAGGGAAGAGTTAATGGAATATATGGTAACCACAACAGTGGGGTTGGGTGGGGGGTTTAGTTCGGGTGTCAGGGAGGCTGATACAAGAAGGGGGAGGAGGTGGAAGAACAAGATAGATAGGGGAACACTGAGACAGGTTTGCATGGCCTAAGTGGGACAGAGGTAAATAGTGATGCATGCCCAACCTTAAAACAACTGGGCTCTGGGATACAGGGATTTAGGCATAGCCTTAAGAGGGGAAATAATACTAAAATGCTTGACTGTCTTATGAATATTGGTTTCTCTTGCCTACTATTGTAAAATAGACAATTGAGTGGAATTGAAAAGAATGTTGGGAAACATGATTACAGAAAACTTGTAAGCCCGTCTTCAGCCTAGAACTGATTGGAATACCTAAAAGGGATTCTAGAACTTGCCCAGTGAAATAGGCCACTTGCAAAGCCTTTTCAAAGTATAGGACTTCAGTTGGAATTCTGAGCCCCATCCAGAACCTTATTAGGTGGGACATTCCCACTAGCAAGGACAAGCAGACTAGCATGAAACAGCTAGATTGACAGAAGACACATCTTCAAAGAAAGATCATCAGGAAAAACCCAAAACAAAAATGTCAGCATGACTGAAAACTGCAAGAATAAGCAAGCTGTTTGCCAGGAAGCCATCAAGGCAAGCAATCAAATTCCTTCAGGACAAACTCCCTTCTAAGACTGAAACAAAGGGAACATACGAACAGGCATATAAGCTTGTTGGTGACCATATTGGTTTACTGGTGAGTGGAAGAGGGGCAGAGGCAGCAATGAAGAAATGGGCTGAGTTCAACCACAGTCCATTGACTCCTGTTGACCTGGCAATGACAGCAAGAAGAGGAAGGGCTGGGTGGTCCAAAGTGTGTTGATCCCATGGACAAGGACATAGTCACAGAGGGCTAGGGCTGAGAGTGAAGCATCCAACTGATATGAAGTGAGGAGATATGCACAAGAACACCCAAACTTGCAGATAGTACTCATTTGACCTAGCCTCGATGGTTTGATAATCAGAACTCCACTAGAGGAAGATTACCAAAAAAACAATTTTTTTATAAAGGAAACAAGGGTAAATTGCTACAATTTGATGAACCTTACCTATACTCATGGAGGTAGTAACTCTAAATACCAACAGAGAGGGAAGGAGTCTTCACATCAAGTATCAATGCTATACACTCTGTACACAGGGTAGATAGGGATGGGCAACTTAGACATTGGCTCCCTAAATTGAGGGGGCGATAAAGGTACAAAGTGAATGGCTTACAAGGTTTCAAGAGGGAGTTCGTTTAAGAGTATGGGGGAGAGGGGAGAGAAAGAGTCCCCACTGAATAGTTTTCGTCTTGTCTAGATGGGCCTGGTGAAAAGAGATGGAGATAAGATTCATATGATTCAATAGTGAATAATTGTTATCACTATTGCAGACTAATTGCGGCTGTCACAATTGTTAAGGTAGAAGTTTTGTAACAAAAACAGAGGCGTGTTTAATCTTACAGTCCAGAATCAAAAGACTCTAGGACAATTAATGGAAAAGAGCACAAGCAGAATGTAGGACTTTATCCAGAGAAGCAGTGACACCAGAGATGGAGACAGAGATGGGTACATGGAGAGAGGGAGAAGCTGAGGACTCTAGATTCACTGGAAAAGAGGGACTAAGCGCTGGTGGCCAGGAGGCAGACTTGCAGAATGTGCCCTTTGGAGGTGTAAATTATTATATATGCCTAAGTGTTTTGTTTTATTTTGTTGTTTTTTAGAAAAGCTAAAGTGTATATAGAGAAATACTGTTAACTGATGGCACAGGGAGGGGATTACAGTCATTGTAATGACGCAAGGTGTATGATCTGTTGAATGTAAAACTGATGATCTGCCCTGTAAACTCACTCAATCCACAATAAAAACCTTAAAAACAAATAAATAAATAAAAATAGAAAATATTTTACTATATTGCATATAGCATACTACTTACAAAATACAACTAGATAGAAAAGAAAGCAAAGGAGTCAAGGCCTGGAATCCACTATGGTAACTACTTCAGCAGAGGGTGGGATGTAGTCTCTTGCCCCAGTTTTTAGTCTGGACATTCTTATACACATGTTCCTGAAATGCTTCTCCTACTCTGTCTTAGGGGCCGTCGAATTGGTTCCAACTCATAACAACCCTTTGGGTAACAGAACAAAACCCTGCCCCATCCTGTGCCATCTTCACAACTGTAGCTGTGAATACCGGTGGTGGGGGTGTTATTTCTCTCTGCAGTCATCAGTCATGACGAAATCACACTCAGGTGATGAAGAAGAAAACTAAATCTGAGATGAGGTCATCTGAGACTACAGTTGTTTGGAGACAACTGCACATGGCAACACAGATTAGCCAAGAGGACAACTTTCAGATTAGAGAACACACATTGGACAACATCCAACTTTGAGAAGTCTTACTTAGATAGCTGAGGCTAGAGTTTTTCTTTTTCCTCCCCAGGTCTGTTGGCAGTCAGCTCCTGGTGGTCTTTAGCTTTCAACCACAGGGACGTGAGCTCCATGCTCTGGTTGGCCCATTAGGATCTCTGCATTTTCCCCAAATTATATTTCCAGTTCAGGTTGGGCTAAAGTCCCAACAAGACTTGGTGAAAACCCAAGACTATAGCCCTTCAGTATCCTTTAAACCTAAAACTAAACTCACCTTTATGGTTAAACTTTCAGTCAAGCAATAGACAGGCCTGTAAAACGAAGGATAATAGCAAGAAGGTATGCACTCATGAGAACAATCAACAGTGTGAGATTAAAAGGTGAGCATTTATCCAGGGATAAAGCTCAGAAGGCAAGAAGGAATAGGGGAAAAGGACAAATGGCAACAGGAAACACAGGCAGGAAGCGGGAAGATGGCTGCTTCATTGAAGAGACTCGTGTCAGAAAACAAAGTATGTATGAATTGTTGAATGAAAACCCAATTAGCTCTGTAAATTTTCACCCAAAACACAATAAAAAGTTAAAAACAGCAACAAAGACCCAACAAGTCAACAAGAGTTAGTTCTCCAGATTGAACTCCTGATCTAATTAAATGATAACATTATCTGTTTCTCTAACCCAACACTGGCCCATACATCCATCTAAGCATGGGGGGAGAGTGAGAAGGAAGGGGTGGAGAGGGCCTGGAAGAGAGTAAGGAAGTGCAGCCGGAGTGGGGGAGAGTGGCTCTGTGGCTCATGTCACGATGGATGTATCTCAGAATCCAAATATGTCAGCACAAAGTGGAACCATGGGGAACATGGAGCCAAGTCTGTCATGTCACGGATGAGGAAACTAAGTTACTCATCTAGTTCAGTTTTGAGGAAAGGTAGAGAAGAGAGTAGAGGTAGGGGTAGAGTCCTGGTGTGGCACTGTAGGATAATCACAGGTATGCTAAGAATAAACAAACATTGGACAGCTCACCCAGCACAAGGTCAGTGGTTCAAACCCACCAGCTACTCTACGGAAACCCTATACAGGGTCACTATGGTTCCGAACTAATCCAAAGGCACTTAAAAACAACAACAAAGAGAACAGAGAAGGAAGTCAGAAAAGAGAAAGTGGCAAAATCAGACACACTCTTCCTTCTTATCTAAGCTTTCCCTCTATTGATACAAGAACCTTTGCACTTATTGGACAAATATTCTCTCTCACACTTATATGCAAAGTGCCAAGTACTTTGTACCATCTCATGCAAAGTCAGGACAGCAAAAATGGTGCAGGAAATCCAAACAGCACAGGCTCAGCCTTGAATTCATCACCCCCTAGTGTTCCTGCCCTGCCTTTATTAGACCAGAAATTCATCACACAAATATCTCTTTGGCCTATAAGGTGTTATGAATATCCTTTATCAATAACGCTAAGGATAAACACATGCTTTTGCACTCATGATGTCCCTGGATTGTGCAAATGAGTAAAAGCTTGACTACTAATGAAAAGTTTGGCAGTTTGAACCCACCCAGTGACACTGATGAAGAAAACCCTAGAAATTTGCTTCCAAAAAGATCCTAGCCAAGAAAGTCCTATGGGGTCGTTCTACTCATGGGGTCACTGTGAGTCTGAATCAGCTCAAAGGTAATGGGTCTGGGGAGGTTTTTGGTTGCCTTCAAGGAGTATACAGTCCAGCAAGAAAGAAGAAGAACACTTAGAAATAGTTATAAGGTCAAATGACTGCATGTTAAGTGTGTTAAGACATGAACAAAGATGGCAGCGAGAATGGAGAAATCATCTTTCTCTAGAGATGTCAGAAGGCTTCTAGAGCTGACACCGGAGTGAGATTTCTGCTTGTGATGTGGTCAGGGCAGAGAGGGTCCACACACAGGGCGCCCAGCACATGGAAAGATACAGGGAAGGAAGTGGTCAGGCAGTGAAGGCCCCATGCAGGGTGTCCAGCACACGGAAAGATACACAGTAAGGAAGTGGTCAGTAAGCGAAGGTGTCCAACACATGGAAGGATACGTGGAAGGAAGTGGTGAGTCAGTGAAGACCCCGTTACAGGGTATCCAGCACTTGTAAGACATGGGGAAGGAAGTGGTTAGTCAGTGAAGGCACCCCACAGAGTGTCCAGCATATGGAAGGACACGTGGAAGGAAGTGGTCAGGAAGTGTAGGCCCCCACAGTGTCCAGCACATGGAAAGACACAGAGGAAGGAAATAGTATTTGTACCATTCAGGGACTCCTAATTATAGTTAACTCTGTGAAAAGGCTTAAGTTCCCTATGTGTCAGCACAGAAGGAAATGAGCTATGATGATTGTCACCTAAGACTTATCAGGAGCAAGAGAGTAGATGGAGAATGTTGTGATGGAGATGCTGAGGAAGAATGGCAAGAGCTAGGGAGCTCCCGTGGAGTGTGGTACCTTAAGACTAAAGCTCGGAGTCAGAGGAGAGTCAGTGGTGCCAAATGAAGCCAGACATCAAGCAGTGCAGGGGCTAGGCGCTGCCCCTACTCCCATCAACACACGGAACAGCTATCACATCCTTTTTCAACATATCTCCTTCAGACACCCCAGTGTCTCTGTGTTGTAAATGTAAAACTAAACTCCTCTTAAGCTTAGTCCAGAATCCCTTTCTTTCTTAGGTATAATAGTTGGATTTTTCTATGTTCCTTCTGGAAGGGCCTGGGTCAGGGGAGCCATTCCTCAATTTACTGGTTATGAGCAAAAATCTTATGTGACAACATGTGGAAGGACAGAATGTTTCGCTGAAAACATCTGTCTCCTTGTAAGACGTCCTACATGGGCAAAGTGTGTGTGTGAGACAGGGCGTATGTGACTCTGTGTGAGACAGAGAGTGTGTGTGTTAGTGTGTATAAGAGGGTGTGTGGTGTGAGAGTGTGTAAGTGTGTGTGTGTGTGAATGTGTGTGTCTTTGGGTATATGAAGAAGAGTGGGTTTATGTGTGTGAGAGTGTGTGTGTGGTATATTATGGTATGTATATGTGAGAGGACATGTGTGTATGAGATTGGGAGTATGTGTAGCAGTGTGTGGCGTATAATTATCTGGTGTGTGTGTCTGAGTGCATGTTTGGTGTGTGGTGTGTGTACTATGTGTCAGATAATGGTATGGGAATGTGTGGTGTGTGAGTGTGTGCTGTGGTATTTCTGGTGTATGTGGCATGTGTGAGTGTGGCATGTAACTGTGGCAGTGTTGTTCGTGTGTGTGTGGCATATGCAGCATATGTGACTGTGTGTAGGGATGTGGTATATGTGTGATGTGTGTGAGTACGGTGTGTTTATGTGTGGTGTGTGAGGTACAGTAGTGACAAACATTGAGGGAGACTGAGGTGGTCAGTAAATAAAATAGAAGGGTGTGGTATAATGTTGCCATGTAAGTACAGAATGGTCAGATAAATCTGTATTTCACATGAACACTGATCTTTAGTATGAGTCGCTGGAGAAGGATATCATGTTTGGTAAGGTAGAGGGCCAGAGAAAAAGAGGAAGACCCCCAGCGAGATGGATTGGCAAAGTGGCAGCATCAATGGGCTCAAGCGTGGCAACAATTGTGAGGTTGGCCCAGAATCGGGCAGTGTTTTATTCTGTTGTGCACAGGGTCGCTATGAGCGGGTACGGACTCCATGGCACCTAACAACAACAACAGCATGTGCTGTGCAAATGTAACTGGTGCCCTATATTTTTTATGTTAAATCTGCCCCATCCAAGAGTGGAGACAACATAACATTCAGTAATGGGAACAAAGCAAGGATTGACTTCCAGTCAGGGCGCTAAACGACTTGCTCTGGTAGTGTACTTGTTACAAGCCTGGCTGCTAATCTCACAGTCAGCAGTTTGAAAGTACCAGTACCAGTGGTTCTGTGGGAGAAAGATGAGGCTTTCTGCTTCCAAAAAGATTTACAGCCTCGGAAACCCTGTACAGGGTCGGAACCAACTCTACAGCACATAACCACCACCAGCTATCCTTGAGGAGTCCTGGTGTGGCACTGTAGGAAGAGCACTTGACCACAAGGTCAGTTTGAACTGCAAGGCCAGTGGTTCAAACCCACCAGTGTCTCCTCAGAAACCCTATACCAGGTCGCTATGAGTCGGAACTGACTCGATGACATTTAACAACAACAGTAACAATGACAGTATCCTTGAGGAGTCCCTGAGGTAGGGTATAAATTGTTAACATGTTCTGCTGTTAGCCAAAAGTTTGGAGGTTCAAATCCACTCAGAGGTGCCTCAGAAGGGAGGTCTAGAAATCCATTTTTGAAAAATTAGCCATAGAAAACCCTATGCAATGCAGTTGTGCTCTGAAACACACGAGGAGGCCAAGAGTCAGAACCAACTCAGCAGCATGGTTTGGTCTTGGGTTGGTTCAGCAAGTCACACCCACCAGCTGATCCATGGGAGAAAGATGAGGCAGTCTGTGTCCACAGAGACTTACAGCCTTGGAAACCCTACGAGGCACTCCCATCCTGTCCTATAGAGTCCCTAAGAATGGAAATCAGCTCAAAGGTTGTTATTTGTTTTAACCCTTGAGATAATGGAGCCTCTTAGCGTGTGCTCATCCAAAGGAATTCCACTGAGAAACCAAGAGATTGCATGAGGGAACCCACCAAGGACGCTGTAAGAACAATTGTGTCTATATCCCTGTAACCACACAAAAATTTTTGAAAAATATACTTATAGAAGAGAAGAGAAACCCTCCAACTCCCGCTTCCCCAGATCTGGGACTAGAGACACAACCAAGTCCTTACGAATCTGTGGCCTGGGCCATGGAGTAGCCATACAAGCTGTGGACGTCATAGTGAAGGCCCCTATGAAACTCTGTGTCCATGCAAAGGGTTCTCTCGGAAAGCACATGGTCCTGAACTCCTGTGGGGAGAATGGATCAGTAAGACACTGCCCCACCAGCCCACATCAATAAAACAGTCAGCACGTCATTGACTTCCTAGTTACTGCACCTTCTACATAGTATCCACACAGAGATTACAAGATTTTCCAAAAATCCACTTCCTACCTGGAATGACACTTAACTAAGTCGATAGCACTTAACAACAACAACAACCTGGGCTTGTTGAAATGAGCTTGCATCCCCTCAGCTCACAAAGGATGGTGGTAAGTTGAGGCAGTAGAGAAACATGCTCAGAGCAGTGGGAAGTTAAGCTGAAATTAAATATAAACAAAGTGTGCAATGCTTATCTACGCATCTATAATTAATGTACAAAGTACAAGTAGGATATTACAGCTTTCTAGTGGGAGGAGTGGGGAATTGACTTAGGCCATCAAGAAGAATAAAAGATTAAGGAAAACCATAATAAACTGACCCACAGTCTTGGAAATTGGGAGAATACAGAATGAGCAGAGAAGGACAAAAAGTAAGTTGGGATAGCAAATAATAAATTTTGCAAGAATTTAAATGGTTTGAACTCAATTACTACTCACCTCGAAAAAAGCTCTTTATCCTTTCACTGATAAAAAAGGAACTAAGAAACAGTTAAACCAAGGTCCAAGTGTTCAACTGAACTCAACAAACCAGAAGAAACTGGCAAAGACTAGTTTGGGATAAAAGAAGATTATATTGATTGTCTTCTCTAAAAATCAAGCTAAGACCATGTGACTGGGTTCTACCCAAAGAAATATGAGCAAATTAGATGCACCACACTTCCAGACTGTTCCTAAAATTCCCTCTCCCCTCTCTTCCCTTTGTCCATGAAGCTGGAAAAAAGGACTCAGAGATAGGAGAAGATAGTGAAAGTTGCTAGATCTCTGAGTCATCAAAATGGATGACTAGAGTGGGATGTAAGCAAAATATAAGGTCTCATTGGGCTGATCCACTGAGATGGTGTTGACTGGTTTCCACAGTATAGCCTATCTCATACGCCTCCCTCAACATTATTTCAAAATCAGTCAAGGCCTCAAAAGCTGGCATTTACTGGAAATATGGCCTCTATAAAAGAGGAAGGAACTCAAAGGAACTTGATGCTTAATTTGTCTGATAATGAAAACACACCAAAAAAGTTAATAAAACTCCACATTTATTTCAATGCAAAGTGGTTTATACCTTAGGGTGTTTTTATAGTTTCATGAAGTTTAAAACTGAACCAGCTGTATGGGGTTTGGAGGATGTAACAGGGTGGAAGAACATGGAACTCCAGAGAGGAAGAACAGCCAAGGAAGGAAGCCAGCTTCAGACTAACATTGACCTCCAACCTCAATTGCTCTTGGGTTATGGTAACACAGAAGGGACCAGAGACCAAATATGCAACAAGGACTCAAGTAGAGAAGTGGACAGAATGTTTGGGAGTGTCTTGGACTGGACATGAAATTGCTGTTGACCACACTGAGTCTTCCTGAGGTTGTTTCTAACACTTTATATGCTTACATAATTAGCAAACTGACAAAAGCTTACGAGGAATGAAAGGAGGAACGTTCAAGTTGTTTTGTTCACACTTATTTTCAGAGGCTTCGTGAAGGTTAGATACTTCATCCATTTCCTTGAAAGACATAAAACATACAAAATGTTGTTGATAAATACCAACAGACAGAAGGAGTATTCACCTCAAGTACCAATCCTAGTCCTTCTGTATACAGGGTGGATAGGGATAGACAACTTAGATATTGGCTATCTAAAATGGTGGTGGTGGTGGTTATGTGCTGTGGAGTCAGTTCCAACTCATAGCAACCCTGTACAGGGTTTCTGAGGCTGTAAATCTTTATGGGAGCAGAAAGCCTCATCTTTCTCCTGCAGAGCAGCTGGTAGTTTTGGGGCAATAAAGGCACACAGTGGCTGGCTTACAAATTTTCAAGAGGGAGGTTAGTTTCAGGTTACTTTCAGAGTGTGTGGGGAAGGTAGAGTCCCCAAGGAACAGTTTTCATCTTATCTAGATGGGTCTGGTGAAGGGAGATAGGGATAAGATTCTTACGATTCAATAATGACTAATTGTTATCATGACTAACTGCGAATGTCACAATTGTAAAGGTAGAAGTTTTGTAACAAAAGCAGGAGAGTAGTTAATCTTGTAGTCAGTCCAGAAACAGAGGACCCTAAGACCATCAAAGGAGAAGAGCATAAGCAGAATGTGGGACGCTATCCTGAGAAGCAGCAATACCAGAGATGGAGGCAGAGATGAGGACATGGAGAGATAAAGCAGCTGAGGACTCTAGACTCATGGAAAGAGAAAGGTTGTATGCTGGCAGCCAGGAGGCAGGCTTGTAGAATGTGTTCTTTGATTATTTAAATGATTATCTATTCCTGAGTGTTTTTGTTTATAAACCCTCTTTCCCCCACAAAAAACAAAAAACCCCCAGAAGAAACAGAAACAAATACTGAACAACGTTGTACAGAGAAGATGGCAATCATTGCAATGAAACTGATGTTCCCCCATATAAACCAATCACTCAATTCACAATAAAAACTGTTTTTAAAAAACAAAAAGCTTTAAACAGAAGAAAAATGTTAATAATAGACAACTGTTGAGAAATGTTTTGCTGAACAAGAAGCCAGAACGCCTGGAGTCTCCCTGGAGCTAGATTTGGGAATTTGAGTAATCTCCCTCACTTATTTTGACCTCTGTTTCATCTCTGAGCCTGATCACTGGATTACACTGCATCTAAGGTACCCTCCAGCTCTACATGGAATTGGCTATGTTTTGTAAATTGTTTTCAATCAGTTAATTTAAAACTACCCTTCCAATGGCAGACTCTTATAAAGTGTGAAGACTTTACTGAATTGTTCCAGCATGGTTTAGAAGAACCTAAGGTAAGGTCATATTTCTTTTTAATAATCTTCTGTCTTTTTTACTTCACTCAGTGAAAAACAGGAAGAGAAGGCAGTTGAGATTAAATCAGTTCCTTTAAAATGGCTTTTAAAAAGTACTGCCTAATCCTGTAAATAGACAATTATTATTCAAATTTCACACAAATCTCCCCCCTGTAATTATTCTTTAAAGATTAACTGGAAGTATAAATTAATTAATCATTACTCACAAACAATCACAATTATAGCATTTAATGAAAGAGTCATTTTAAGCTGAAAGACAGTTTGATTGTGGAGTGATAACTTACAATCCAGACTCCATCAAAGTGCAGAGTTTCATGGAATTCCGTGAACTGCTGTGTCCACCATGAAAAGCTTGATGGATTACTGAAGTCAGGAAAGATTGTCAATCCGGGGTAGCCCTAGAAAAGAAGGATGGAGTAGCAATTGGATTTGTGGCAAAAAGCGATTTCTTTATTGTTGCTTTGTTCTGTGGAGTTGATTCTGACTCCTACTGCCTAACATTTCTTCTATGAGAGCCTCCATGTAGCTTGTGGAGTCAATATACGTGACTTGCCAACAAAAACTAAGCAATAAAATAGATGCAATGGAAGAGAAAGTAAAAAAGGAAAAATAATGGACTCAACTGGAGAAAACCATCAAAAGTTCTTTTCAATGAAAATAAAGTGAATTTGATTATGTCAGACTGATCATCGGAAGAACTGTTTTGAATACTAAGATGTCTCACAGGAGGATATGCCAAAGAAGAATTACTGAATTAATTTAATTTGTTCTAAATTGTACATCATCTAAGCCCTAGTTTAAATAATGATATTTATAGGTTATATGGAGTCTTGGTACAGTGCTGTAGAATAAGCACTTGGCTGAAAGGTTGATTTGAACTGCAAGGTGGCAGCTCAAACTCACCAGTCAGTTGTGTGAACATAAAGCATCATCTTTGTCCTGTGGAACAGCTCATGAGTTTGAACCACTGACCTTATGGTTTGAAGGTCATACTTGTCCTACAGACCAAGCTTGTTCCTCAAATTTTACATTTAAATATAAAAATAAATATTAAAATAAATATGACTATAATACAGACACTGTAATAAAATAAATAAATATAAACATAAAATACACATATATTTGTTTTATTCTTGCCTGTTTGTTTATACTTATATTTTATTATATATTTCCTCTACATTCATATTTTATTTATGCTTACATGCACTTTAACATATGAGGTAGCCTCAGGAAGTTTTTTGAAAAATGGAATTAAAAGATAATGGAATCTTTCCTTGATACTTTAAAAGCCTCCTCATAGATTTTAAATGGATGCACTCTATGCTAATATTAATGCATTATTTAAGTATATTTAAAATTTATACATTTAATATTAACACTTCAATTTTATTTTCTGTTTATGTCCTTTAATATTGATATTACTGTAACACCAATATTAATATTGGAAGTATAGACATAAGCCTAAAATATAAAAATGAAATTTTAAGATGAAATGTAAATATCAAATGAAAATAAATTAACTGCATAAATCAAAATAGTCAACATGCTGCTGCTAGGCGCCTCCCAGTTGGTTCTGACCGGAGAATAGCCCCTGCACCGTAGAAAGGCCCACTCCCCTGACCTGAGCCGTCCTCACAGTCACTGCTGTGTTTGAGCCCGGTGTTGCAGCCACTGTACCAGGAGCTGACCACCCACTCCGGGCTCCTACTTTCTGGAGGAAGAGCAGAGGCTGAGGGAGACCCAGACCTCTTCGTCCAGGACAGATACACTTGAAGGTGGAGAAGCAGCCCTCAGCAAAGCCCACATCCGACTGGGCACTTGGTGATGGACTGGGCATCCTTTTAAGGAGGTGCTGCTGGATTCTGTCTGCAGTCCTTCCTTGTCAGAGACCCTAAGTTCTGAGTGGTTCACTGGGACTCTGCAGTCTAGACAGGGAACCCTGTAACCAGACAGCTGCCCCTATCCTCTGGAGGGCCCACTCAATTCCTCATCTTCTTGGTGGAAGAGGAACCTGGGGAACCAAAAGGAAATCATCCCAAATCTCCACCCAATTTGCTAGCTGGTTTCCTGAAGCGTTTCCTCTAAGCCTGTCCCATAGTCTCCACTGTGCTTCAGGGATGAAAGGAATGGGTGCACAAAGAAATGTTGGGGAAAACTCTAGTGTTAAATGTCTGGTAGGTCTCAAAAAAGAGAGTAAACTTTTCAAAAATCAATCAAATATACATTTAATATAAATATGGTGGTGGTAGTTATGTGCTACAGACTCGATTCTGACTCAAAGCAAGCCTGAATAGGGTTTCTGAGGCTGTAAATCTTTACTGGGGCAGAAAACTTCATCTTTCACCCACCGAACCACTGGTAGTTTCGAACTGCTGAACATGAGATTAGCAGCCCGACTCATAACCACAACGCCACCAGAGCTCCTTAACATAAATATGTGGTTGTTGTTAAGTGCCTTCGAAGCAGTTTTGACCCACTGAACCCCTACATAGGGTTTCCAAGGACAAGCTGGTGAGCTTTAACTGCTGACCTTGCAGTTCAAACGACTCTGCGGTCTGGCCCAGTAACTCACAGAGCCACACCAGGACTCCAATGTAGCTATAAAATATGACTAAATTAACCTGTAAAATGAACAGTAAATATATA